GTGTGTAGTAGTAGAGAGAGAGAGAGAGAGAGAGAGAGAGAGAGAGGCAATCTCCCTCACTAGGCAATAAAAGTCTTTCAAGAGATATTTTTTCAAGATCAAGGGCATACTCCATTGGAAGCCACATTTCTGGGAATTCAGATATACACAAGCAAGGTCATTACGCATCCATATTTTACTCTGCAATTGCACATCGATTGTAAATATGATCATTGCTTGGCAGAAAGCAAACCATTTTCAGAAAATTGAGCACAAGTATCATTTCCAAGATAGTTCTTAAATAAATATTTAGTTAGCATTGAGGTGATTACAAGATGAACATTGTTTGCGTATTATACATGTGCTTGGGCATATATTGTTTCCCTTTGATGTACTATAGTATAGTCTAAGCAGCATGGCATCAGTATGTTGTAAATGAAGCCTTTCAAGTATGAAGATAGTTGGCTGCCATCATCAACTCCAATGTGATTTCAGGCTCGATGTAGAACTCGGTCTCTTTACCACTGTCATAAGTAAAACAATGAGTAGCCAAAGATCCAAGACAATGTACAAGAATCACGAACATAAGACTTGCCAAAATAGTTTTGAAAAAGCAAAATGAGAAAGTGCTTTATCTGAATCTAAATGATGTTTTATTGATGATACCAGAAGAAGACATACATGGATCCCTGGTTTGTAACCATATGTATTTTGTAAAGAATTGGGGGGATCTTTGAAAGGTATTGCGGTGCACATGAATAAAAATGAAGGGTTGTTTTTATATGTCAATTAATTAAGGTAGCTCATCAGATATCTACTTGTAAGTTGTTGAACAGAATGAATAGCAGAATGTGCAGCATTTACAAACATAGATGTCATTGTTTCTTTGAGTAGGTGACTCATAATGGAGTAATTTTTCTGGATGTCTTGTATAAATAAATAAGTTTTTGCTAAATTATAACATACGCCTTTTTGAAGTTCTTAAAAAGCACCACATGCAAGTTGAGCTTTAAATAAGATTTGACTTGAAATGGTAAGTTATATATGTAGGAGTGGCAATTTACAATAAAAAAATGATAATATATGCCACACACACCTGCATACATGCACAAAGAAGTCATACGGAGGTCAAGTTACAACGACAAAACTTGGTACCATGGAAAATTATCACACAACACAAACAGGTAGATATGTGCTCACATGCACAAGAGCAGCATGTGAGAACATAAAAGTATATGAAAGCTTTTGAAAGATAATGGACAAAACAGAAAACAGGAGATTTTTGGTTAAAATTGACAAGGAAAACCCTAAATGTACTAACAGCATACATGCTATTGTCAAACTAATGTAAACTAAACTGTCCGTTTCTCAGTTCATGAATGTCACAAATCAAAATAATGAAAGAGCACACGCATGTATGATCCCATACTATTCACCAGGCATAATACACAATCCATCATGCATCAACCATTCATGAAGGAAGACATGTCAGAGTAAATAAAACAATCTAGACAATCGAGTCACAATCACAAATAAAATGAACGAGCATAATGCTTCCAAATTTCAACTAACCAGACCAAGGCTTAAGAAAATGGATCAGTGACCTAGGTCGTCCATCTAAAAAACTGGTCTGTATCGGCAGATCGGTGATCCGGTACATTGATCTGGCCAAGTGAATCGGCCAATTAAAAACAAAAAACGGTCAATAAAAAAAAATAGAGAACAAGAAAATCGAAAAAAATATTATAAAATAAATGGTGGGGCTAGTTTGGGCCAGTTCTCTGACAGAATCGGAACCAGACAGATTGTAGTGGGAACCGGCTGGTTCCTGATATTTGGTGGGAACTAGACCAGTCCCACCGATCAACGATCCAGATTAGACGATTCTGATCCAGTTCACCATTTTTTAAAACCTTGAATCAGACTAAGTATGACCATGGACCACCATCATGTTCATAACCATCACCTTCTTATCCTCCCCTCTTCTTGTCTTTGTCAAATGGCGCTCATCATCGAGTATATATCCTCAATTCACATTTCACACTTTCCGTTATTGATCTATTAGTGCCAAAACCTAGCTCATGTCTTCAACAAAATATAATTAGATCAAATATATAAGGATAACTTGGTACATTTCAAATGCATCTCCTTTAATCTAGTTTCAGTGGATATAGACAAGATTATTCAGATTTCTCTAGTTCGCTGTTCTAATTACATTCAAAACTCAATGAGGTCGATGTTCCAATTACATTCAAAACTCAATGAGGTCGATGTTCCAATTACATTCAAAACTCAATGAGGTGCATGTTGGTCATCAAACACAATCACAATGCACTAGCAGGAGGGGATGACCATTGTTTAAGTTTGCACATTTGTATATGTGTGCAACAAGGGGCACCTTTGTCTGTCTTAATTATTTAAAGCATACATCAGAAATTTTTGTGTGAAATAAAGGCCTCTTTATCAATCTCTATTATCACATTTGCATATATCCAATAAAGTACTTTGCAGCCCAACTAGAGTACTCCAGTCATTTTGGTGTGAATATATTGTATTTTTGGGAGTCAATCCCTCATTATCAATAATGAAGATGTTCAAAATTCCTCAAACTTGAAATCCATCATGCAGCTGAAAAACTCGAGTATAAGAAAAAAAAATATCATCACAATCATCAACCGAGACTTATCCCGGCTATACGAATTGTATTATGTCATTCTGCTCTATCAAGGGCCATGCCCTCAATAAGAACATAAATCAACATATCTTATCTCGCTCCTTCCAACCATGTCCTTTTGAACCTCCCCCTTTCGTTTAGCCTTCCACTTGAATCGAATCGCACCTCCTAACAAGTACGGTATTAGGTCAACATTGCGCATAGTCAGCCCACCCAAGTCCAGTTTCCCTCATCTTTTCCCTACTAGAGCCCAACTAAGTTCCCTCGAATGCATCCATTCTCAATTCTATCCTTTCTTTCTTGCCACTCATGCATCTCAACATCCTCATCTCAGCTACATTCATCCTATGGGTATGTTATTTCTTGACCACCCAAAATTTCATCCCATAAAAGAATGGCTAGTCTTACCGTGGTTTTATAGAACTTCCCCTTCAGTTTCATTGGTAATGCAGGGATCACATAAGACTCCACATGCACAACCAACTTCACCCACCCAGCTCTAACTCTATACACGACATCTTCCTCAATCTCTCCATTCTTCTAGATTATCGACTGGTCCCTACATCAGGCCTCTTTTGACTGCCACGGTAGCTTCCGGATCCTTGCACGAAGCTGCTAACCCTCGACATATCCCTGACCCTCCTGGGTCACTATATGGATGCCCCCGATGTCCTCCAAAAACCTTTGAATATAGATCCTACCAGCCCCCTGCTTATGCTCCAGGGGTGCCTTACCCAGCAAGATCTCGATCTCCTCCATAGGAGATTGGTCCACAGAAGGGGGTATGCTTAGAACGGGCTCCCCATTGCTCCTAACCCCAAAAATACGAGTGGCATCCTCCAGAGCGGGAGCCAACTCCCCATATGGCAGAGGGATAGTGCCGTCTCTAGGAGAAATGTATGGCAGAGGGTGCTGATAAGGGCCAAATCTATAGAGGGAATGGACAGATGCGACAAATCTCCCATAACCCAATCTCCATCAAAGGGAGACAATCTTTGGGCCCGTCCTCTCACTTTATATAGGTCGCTGGTAGTATCAATATGCTTAAGCTGAGCAGTACAAAAAAAAAAGAGAGAAAGAGAGCATAAGTGAGTGAGCTATTTCCTTTCCCAGGATATCCTAGGGCCAAAGGAGAACACGAACCAAAGTTCGAACTTTGTCAGCATGCGTCTCTGTCCCAGAAAATTTCAAGATGAGAGAGTAAGACCGAAAAGCGGTCTACAGGAACAGCCCTAGGGCAAGGGCCTTAAGTCCAGACAGGTATGTGTCCTAGAACTGTTTCAAAGCAGGGACAAGTAGCAAGTCAACCCTGAGAAAGTCCCTCACTCTAACCAAACTAATGCAAATCAAGATCATATGGATTTAGTATTTTTTATTTTTCTCAAATATTTGAGGACTTAATTATTTCTTTATTTTTTATTGGTATATTTTTTTATCTTTATTTTTATTAGGGTTAATTTGTTAGAGATAGGATTAGTCTAGGATTCTTTGGGTTAATTTGATAAGTTTGTTTTTTTTTTAAGTGAACCCATTTATTCAAAATAAGAATTTTTTTTAAAAGAGTTGAATCCGTGCTTATAGAGTTGAGTCTATGCTTAAAGAGTTGAAGGAGTTGAACCTTCTAACTAGAAGTTATCTTTATGGAAAGGATAAGTTTGTAGGTTCCTTTTATAAGGTTAGTTGTTGATGTCGTGGGTAGGAGTTGCATTAGGTGGGAATAGGCAGTAATCTATTGGTAGTTATCTTCTTTTACTAGTTGTCTTTAGGTTTGTGAAAGCAAACTCCTTAAAAGGAGCTCGTGAATTGCAATGGAAAAGTGATGTTTGCATATCATGCACAGAGAGAGAGAGAAAGAGAGGCCCTTTGTGAGTATTTCCTTTCTTCCCTCTTGTGCTTGTGGGCCCATAGCGAAGGACTCGGATATGCACATTTTGCTTTCTTCTTGCCTGTCGGGAACAATACAAGTCCGACCAGGCAATAAAAGAAGGTCCGCAGGTGGAGCTCAGAAGGCACTTCGGCCTCAATTCAATTCAAAACTTCAAGATTGATCCACTCGACCCTCGAGGGGAATCGCAGCCCCAGGAAATGCCGACCCACCAGAGCATGATCATCATTCCCTACGGATAGATGATAAGGGGTGTCAATAAGTCGTAACCACGAGATGCGAGCCAACTCCTCCAGTGTGAGTGTGGCTTTGCCAGATGGGAGGAAGAAGGTATTAGGGAAAGGATTAAATCGCTCGGCCAACGCCTCGAGAAGATTGAAATTCACATGAGAAACAACCATTTAGAATACGCCCATCATATATAGCACGGTCATCGAGACCGTTCGCTCCACCCAATCACGAGAAACATTTTACCGCTCGCAGAACCAGGTTGGAATGAGAGGAAAGCCCTGAACCCGATGAGACCTTTCCCCGGCTATGATGGAATGTGCCACGTGGTCAGGGAAACCTTTCAAGAAGGGTTGAGATTTGCTAAAAGAGGGAATGTCTTCTTCTCTAACAATGGAGATTGACCTGTCGATGACCGAACATTTTAGCAGGGTTTTGGTATAGAAAGAATGGGAGAATTTGATTGGTAGAATTCGGTCTCAAGTCGGATGGGGTGGCCCGAAGGACAGGACACCTATTTACAGGCACAAGGGGGTCTGGAAAAAAATCTGGGTCAAGATCTTTCAACGTTACCACCAGTGGCGTTGGCGTGGCCACCACCAGAGTCAAAAGTAGGTCAAGTTCCCTCCAGATTTGACAGATCCCAAGAGTCCCGAGACGCATAATCGAAATTTGGAGCCCCTTTTCCCGACGAGGCAATTAGCAACGTGGCGGCAACAGGCGAAAAGTGACCAAAAAGCCCCTCAACTTTGATGACTGCACATAAGGTGTTGGCACTAGCACCAATAGCGTAGCTCTGATTTCTGCCCTGAATGGTACCTGATTCCCCTGGAAAGACCCGAAAGACCTAGGAATCCTACAGACATCAGCATGGGACACCAACCTGCCAAAGGCATAAGTTCTCTCGCACACAGTATAACTGAATCTTAACTACCCTAACGGGACCACCGCAGTGCATGCTTGGGGCAGCATATCACGGCACGACAACCACTACTTCAGCAGATCGCCACGTCCATCACTGCATGACGTTAAACTGCTAAGCTAACTCCGTGGTCGCATAAGTTAAAACTACGTGACCACATCGTTTTCAAAATACCTATTTTTCAAAAAAATTATGTTAACTGCCCACATTGGGTGCCAGACTATTTATACGCGAACTTTCTGCAAAAATAATATTTCTGCCTGATTTCTCATTTAAACTCGTCGATCAGATGCATAAAATGGGGTTCTATCAAATTATGGACCACGAAAGAAAATTGAACCTACAATTGCTTCTTTGGTGGTCAATCAGCCGTGCCAACTAAAACTTGCCTAAAAATCAAAACAAAGATGGAAGTTTTAGAAAATTGAATAAGAGAAAATACGGGGAATTTGGAAAACATCTAAGAGATCGAACAACAAAATAAAATAAATAATAGAACTAAAAAAAGAGTAAGGATAGTAGACTTATCTGGGGCGAAGCCAGGTCCACTGACCTGGCACCAAGAGTTAGGAGCGCGGGTCAGAGTTTGTCGATGCAAGGGGACCATTCCCATTATCGTCAGAGTTTTGCACCAAAGAAGGTCGATTCAGTAGTTGTTGTAGAATCGGAATGGGGCCTTCGCAAGGTCTCGGTATGGTTTTTGAAGTCCGGTCTCCCTCTCACTGATCCTTGTATGGATTTGTGTATGAATGCGCAAGTGAAGGAGGTGAGAGGGAGAGTAGGTTTGGGCTTGTTCGTGGTGAAAATCCATAGAGTGTGGGTTAATGGGAGTGTGCATAAAATAAAATAAAAAATCAAACCAATAAGGGAGAGGTAAGAGAGGGAGAGGAAGAATGAAAGAGAGGGATGTTGGGAAGAGAAGCGGCGGTGCAGAGATGGGAATGGGGCGTGCCTTGGAGAGCATGTTGAGTAAGTGAGCGGGAAATAGGTTGAGTGAGTGAGAGAGAGAGAGGTGTGGGTGTGCAATGATGAGGACGAGAGAGGTGTGTTGACTTTTGAGGAGGGTGAGAACATTGGTTCGTGTGAGGTAATGGGGAAGGGAGATTCAAAGGAGCAGGCGGGCCCACCTGTTTTAGGGTTTGAAAAGAGAGAGGGAAATGTTGGTAAGGGAGAAAGTGACCAAGGGAAAAAGTGGAACCATGTGGGAGGAGAAAATGAGGGGACTCGGAAAAGCCAGTGGAGAGAGAAAGAGAGGGACATTGGGAAGAGGGAGGAAATAAGTGGAGAGAAAGAGAGGAGTGGGAAGAGAGAGAAAGAGAGGGATATTGGGAAGAGGGAGGAAATGAGTGGAGAGAGAAGGGCGAGTGGAAAGAGAGAGATGGAGAGAGAAAGAGAGAGGGACGCTAGGAAGAGGGAGGAAATGAATGGAGAGAGAGAAGGGGATTGGGAAGAGAGAGAAGGAGAGATAGAGAGAGAGAAAAATAGGGAGAAAGGATTAAAGTATGGAACATGGGATAGGATGAACTAGGGTGTATTGTGATAGTTTGGCCCCTAGTGTGATTTAGGTTAGAAAATGATTTTTTTTTATAAGGCAAAAATTAGAATTTTGGCTGGAGAGGGTCTAAGCCAAATTCCTAGGATTTCAGGCATTTTCAGTTCCCTAGAATTTCCTCAGTCGAAAAATGGGGTGTCTACAATTTGGTTTTTTGGAGTCATATATATTCACAAAAAACACAATTGCACACACACGGAAAGAGACACACAGGGCAAAGTTGACATCTTCTTCTAAATTGTAGAGTATTGCAGCTTGAAAGAATTGCAAGAAATAACAGTGAAAACTCAAGCAATGGGAGATTTATATTTAAGAATCAATTATTTAGAAGTTCACTAAAGTTTAGAAAAATGAAATGCAGGATCTTATGGAAACTGCACAACACATATCACTCCACCCCAATAAAAGGTGTTCACTCATATCAGTCCAGAAATAGGCTTAAAATGAATGGAAGTAAAAACACAAGAGTTAATGTAGTGAACCAAAGGGTCTAAAATGGGTGGTGGAGCTGCAACTTCATCATTTTAGGGCGGGTTTGATTGTCAAATGTCATCAACTAATGTTTCCTTTCAAAATGTAAATGACCGAACTACAGTTCAATTAGTTATCATTTTCTATCTAGTATTGTTTGATTGTTCCAATATGAAGTGCACGTAGTGGCAGCAACGCAATAGTGGTGGTGATTACGGTATGGTGTTAGGGCTAGCATGATGGTAACAGTGCAATGGTGGTGGTGATGGTGACAGCAGAGGAAACTGAGGGTTGTGGTGGTAATGATGGGGGAGGAGCAATGGTGGTGATGTTGGTGGCTCAGTGCAATAGTGATGGTGGTGGTGGTCGAGTAGTGGTGGCAGTGGTGGAGCATTGGTCATTGTAGAGGAGGTGGTGGTGGTGGTGGTGGTGGTGGTGGTGGTGGTGGTGACGGGGTAGAGAGAGACAGAGATATACACATACACACACACAGGGGAAGGTGGTGATGGAGCACAGAGAGAGAGAGCAGCATCAATGGAGCAACCACTCCAAATGGTTTTGTCACAATTGGGGGCCCAAATTGTAATAAATAGATTCCAAAGTGCAATTTTGAAAATCAAACACTACTATAGGGTCAAATGTAACCAGCCAAATTGTAGGTTGGTCCACATTACAGGTTGCCCGGATCGCCTGGAAATCAAAGGGGACCCTTAGTGGGCTTCAACTATGGGAATATTTGATCAACCATCTGAAAAATAAATATGGCCCATAGTAATCCCTACCCACCAAATGAAACACCCTAAACAAATGTTACACAATTCCGTATAGGGTAGTGTTTGCATGATACTCCAACCTACCCAGACACCATATGTGCTATCTCAAAAACCATCTTTTTGATGATTAAGGACCCCAAAACCATTCTAAGCCCCTGCTAATCCATTTATGTCATGGAATAATGTTTTTGGTGCTCCTAAACTTGTGCAGATCTGATGACTCTAGTGTCAATTGAAATGCATGGTCTTAACACTAGATTCTATAGCTGAAGAACTCTTTGAAGCATGTCTCCACTTAGTCACAAGTAATTGACCCAAGAGCCCTTTAATTTCTTCTTATTTTATTACCTAGCAAATAGCTAGGCACATCTTTTATAGTGCGTGGCCTCTTCTAGACAACCACATACAGGAACATTGATTTCATTTTGTTACAGTACGTATGGTGCAAAATAAATAAAAAAATTTTATAGCACAAAAAACAGAAAAGAATAGAACTGATCTCATGCATGTAGAAGAGAGTAAAAGTTACTACAAAGATGTGGAATTATAAAAAATGGGGGAGTTTAGAGACAATCCCATCAAATGCCATATTCCTAGATCACAGGTAAGAGTTTGGCCGATGTGTCACTATATAAATAGTACTTATAAAGAAACAAAAATTGAATCACATCACATATTGGAAAAGCAGATTCATTTTTATACTAAAAAAAACAAACATCTCATTGACATAAGAAAGAACAAGAAATCATATTAACAAAGAATTTCAAAGAAACTGGGATGGATTAACCTGCAGGAGATACACGATACAGAATAAGAAAAAAACATTCAAGCTCTAAGATAAGAATAAAATGGGGATTATACAGACCTGGCAAACTGCAAGGACCAGTAAAAATACTGGCATACTTTCTCCAGAACGGGGGTGCTGATCTCTGGAAACTTCACCTCTCCAAGTTGTGTTTCAGTGAAACTACCTAGAAATAAATAGAGGGCGCCTCAGATAAGCCCTAAATCGAACTTGAAAAGGAATTGAGAACATTAATCCTAACAGCAGAACAATGACAAGAGTTTTTTAACTGGGAAAGAACAGGGCGAACGGAAAGGTTCAAACATAGCAGAATCAGATGCTCAAATTGTATAGAGAAGCCAAAATCAAATGATAAAATGGAAGATTAAGGAACAATACGGAGACAGAGGACAAGGCCCCAATGTCTCGAAGGGAAAAGAAGAGGGTGAAACTAAATATTCAGAAATATAGAAATCAATGATAAAATGGGAAAGATAAGAGACAATCCAAAGAGAGAGGACGAAGGCCCCAGTTTCTTGAAGCAAACAGAAGAGGAAGAAAGTAGAAATATAAGAACACCAAAATCAAATGATAAAATATGGGAACCTGAGGAAGAGAGCATGTTCCTGAGAGTATTGGAAACGGAGGCGGCCTTCTTATCGATCACAAATTCGAATCCCTCTGCACTAATCAGCTTCACGGTGTCCTCCTTCCTCATTTTTTTCCTCAACCACCCACAAAAACAACAACTAATCGATGATGATTAAGAACAAGGACCGAACTAGAGAGAGATGAAAAGCTGAAAAGGGATTCCATGCAATGACAGTATTTATCTTTCTTACAATAGAACCCAAAATGTCAAATTGGATAGATTAGGATTTGCGACCAAGTTGGAGAATTTTATTGGGAATTTACGAAAGATATACTTTGGTTTTCGCCTAATTGAAAAAAAAAAACCAAAAAAACAAAAATAACTTTAATTTTTATAAGTCTCTTCCCCACTTTTTTTTTTATATCAATATTAGTATTTTTTATCAAAATAACCTTGATAATACTTATATTACTTAAATGACTACCATGGCTAAACGAAGTAATGATAAATTTAAACATTACAACGCTTTAAATACCGTAATGCTTAAATTTTGAGTATGATGTGGCTAATGAGGGAGAAAGAAACTCAGGGAGCATTATGATTTTTAAAGTTGGTTTTTAAAGTACTATAATGCTTAGCTTGATCATTACGGTAAAATACTGTAATGTCTAGCTTGGTCATCACAGTACGTAAAGTGCTATAATGCGGTAGTTATTACGGTAATATGATTACTCTATTTTAATATAAAAATTACCAAAATTAAGGAAAAATAGTGTTGACGAAGTTTATGAAAGTTGAGTTTTTTTTTTCAATTAGACTAAAATTAATGTATATTTTTTATAATTTCCTTTCTTTCTTTTTTTTAATCGACTCCAAGTGAGTCACACTTTCAACAATCTAATTTAGAATCTTTCAAATTTAACAGATAAAAGTAATTAGGACCTCCACATATTAAAAGTAAATAGTCTCTTTATATATTTTTCCTTAAAGGACACCTCAAAAACCTACTAAAATATATAATTATAATACTTCAAAACCCACTAATCAATCATCTTGACCTCAAGATATATACATATAAAAAAAATTGATTTTAGGTCTTGCAAATAGTACATCTTGTACTGCATTAGATGGATTGCCCATTTTTAAGATTTTTTAATATTTAGAGATGCATGCGATTTATACTATTTTTAGAGCTTTAAATTTCTCGATTAGAGATGAAAACAAGTTTTTAGGCCATTACAAGGTTTTTTGGCATCAAAACGACATCTTTTAGCATAATTTAGAGGTATGCCTTACTTGGATTGGTTAAAGTTACTGCCTTATACAAACTACACTCATTAAAAAATAGTGTCCATTGTAATACATAAACTAGCCCATTTAATTTCAAGTATCTATATGGAAGAGCTGTCATATTTTGAGCTATAAAGTTTATGATCGGTGATAGAAATAAGTTTGAAAGTCATTATAAAATTTTCTCATGCCCAATGTTCTTTAGATGAAGTTTTGAAGTGAGGCTTTATCTAGATGAGGTTTTAAGGTGAGGCTTTATTTTATTTTATTTATAAAACTTGAGGCTCGTACAAAAGGCATCTTTTGTTATGGAATGGCTCTCACTTTAAGCCTAGTCAAGGCCACATCACTTCAATTGCAAGTGCAAGTGAATGGGATTAGAATATAGTTTTTATGAGTTCGCGGATTTATCTATTCATGTTAATCCTCCCTCTATAATCCTTCCTCTATAATCCATTTAGATCTAAACTTTTTAATCTAGACAATGAGAATAGTGAGCATGAAAAAATAAATAAATCTGAAATTTTAAAATAGTAATTTTAGAATTTTATTTCCTTTACATTTTAGGTCGACCCTCTCTTTTGCCCGTCCATCTCAAAGATGGACATTTGTTGCAACATTGGACACGCGTCTCCATCCGTGCCCGTGGATTTTTTATGTGTCCCTTGTAGGAGTAAATTTTAAGGTAGAAATGCAACCATCAAATTTTAAGGTAGAAATGCAACCATCAAATGTTACGATTGTGATTAATTGTGACCACTTTGTATCAAATATAAATAGTTTCATTATATATTTTTTTATAAAAATTACACCAAAATAAATGCATGAAAAACTTATTTTTTTTAAAATTACGTAATCCCAAATTTTCATATTAAGCAAACCCTTCCAAAGAGGACTTCTGCCAAGGAAACTAGTAACATGCCTTGGACATGATAAAACCCTAAAACCAAAGTCAAAAGAGTGACATTTCAGAAGAAATGTCCACATGGGTTTCCTTTCTTTACTTCGCCCCATATCTACTGATATGAAAAAACCTTTCGTTGCCCTCTTTCCCGCGCTGTTCTCCTCTTCTCCCCCAATTCGACCGTTGGACCACGCCCATTTGAATCTGAATCAAGAATGCCTCAACCTTTTGGCAACATGTACCAGCATGACCCAGCTCAAGCAGATCCACTCTCGCATGATCCGAACCGGTCAAGACCAAAGGAGCTTCACCCTCAGCAAATTGATCGAATTTTGTGCTTTTTCGAATGAGATTGATTATGCTTGCTTTGCTTTCAACCTCATTGATAACCCAAATATTTATCTATGGAATGTTATGATAAGATTACATGAGCAAATAGCCATTAGAGATGAACCCATTTGGCTTTACAAGCAAATGAAATTGGAAAACACGAGGCCGGATGACTTTACTTTCTCTCTCATTCTAAAGAGTTGTGCGAGGTTAGCTGATGCGGGGCAAGGGGAGATCATTCATGGAGACGTTTTGAAAAGTGGGTTTCAATCAGAGACTTTTGTGAAGACTGGTTTGATACATTTTTATGTAGTTTGTGACTGTTTGGAAGATGCCCTACGATTGTTTGCTGAAATTCATAATAGAGATTTGGTGCTCTGGAGCACTATGATTAGGGGTTATGCTAAAGCAAGAAGGCCTGATGATGCATTGAATCTGTTTCGGAAGATGCAAATTGCGAATGTGAGGCCTGATAAAGTCACACTGGTGAGCATCCTCTCCTCTTGTGCTCAATTGGGTGCTTTGGATTTCGGCAGATGGGTTCATGCATACATAGAAAAGCACAATTTTTTGCCAAATATTTACATAGAGACTGCTCTCATAGACATGTACCTGAAATCTGGGTGCTTAGGTAGCGGACACGAGGTATTCAATAAAATGGCTCAAAAAGATCTATCTTCATGGAATGCCATGATCATTGGACTTGCACTGCAAGGCCATGCGAAAGATGCAATCGAGGTGTTTCACGATATGCAAAGAAATAATATCAAACCCGATGAAATTAGTTTTGTTGGTGTTCTTTCAGCATGTAGCCATGCCGGTCTCATTAACGAAGCTGGGGATTATTTTTACTCAATGACTAATCATTATGGTATCAAGCCTGAGGTAGGTCACTATGGGTGCATGGTCGATCTCCTTGCACGAGGGGGACTACTTAAAGAAGCTCAAGAGTTCATAAAAGCCATGCCTATTGAGCCAGATGCTGGTATTTGGGGCTCTTTGCTTAGTGCATCGAGAATTCATGGAGATCGAGAGTTAGCTGAAACTGCAATGAAACGCTTGATTGATCTGGAACCGGAGAATAGCGGAAATTATGTGCTCTTATCAAATATGTATGCATCTAGTGGGAGGTGGAGCGAAGTGGCAGAGATGAGGAAGGTGATGAAGGATAGGGGGATTCAAAAGAGGAGAGGGTGTAGTTGGATTGAGGTGAATGGATTTATTCATGAATTTGTGGTGGAGGATGAATCACACCCATTTTCTAAAAACATTTATTGGATGTTGAATGATATCACAAAGGAGTTATGGTCACATGGGTGTGTGTTAGATGAAGGGTAAGAGAAAATATTCCTCCTTTCTTGGTAGAGTACGAAGGTACATGTAGGGAATAGGGTTCTCAGAACCAATACACCACCATCTATGTTTATTGGAGGACACTGTTTTGTTGAGTTGTTGCCCACTTTTTTGGCAGTTTCGAGGAACAATTTCGACGACTTTAGCCATGAATGGTATGGAATGTGGATGTTGGGTATGATTACCTAAGTTCTATACTCTTGCGAGTTGCGGTTACCATGCCCTTTATGAAACTCCAAGCATCATCAAAAGAAAGCTCTATCAAAAGGCAAACGGAAAACTTTTTCTGTTAACATGCTCTTTTAGGTGTTTCGCGTTAACATGCTCTTGCGAGTTGCGGTTACCATGCCCTTTATGAAACTCCAAGCATCATCAAAAGAAAGCTCTATCAAAAGGCAAACGGAAAACTTTTTCTGTTAACATGCTCTTTTAGGTGTTTCGTGGCAACGATTTCGGAGCAAGAGCGTGATTACCTTGGAAGTGTAAGGTTCCAACGTTGGCTGAGTTCTTTGAGAAATAAATTTTGTAAAATTTAGTTATTTTCCTGTGGTATTTTATTTCAATAAAATCAAATAATTAGTGTTTATATGACACTGCGTTTTATCCATTTTTAGCATAGCGAGGATCCTGAATAATCTAAAACTAAGTCCACCTACCTTAAACCTTAGATGGAGGGCAGGGTGTAGATGCATCCATGGACGCACCTATGAATCTTCCAAAACTTGGAGATGGATTCTGGATCCATAATGATATGGTTCGATTGAGAATCTGGAAAAAAATTGAATTTGAGCTTCAAATAAGGCTCATTTTGATTGTTTCTTTTTTTCACCCTTTAAAATTTATCAAATCTACATTATCCTTTGAGTTTCAAGTTTATCAATCTGAGGCATAAATGAACTTTTATGAGTTTGCGACGGTGTATCTTCATGCACAATTATATGGTAAGACTACTGATTCAAAACCTACCAATGGCGGTCGAGAATCATAGATCTGGATCAGGACACACTGGTTCTCGAAAAGTTTAGGAACTAATCTGACTCATCAGTAAATCGATGGTTTCCTTAGAGAATCAGGTGATCCTGTCAGGGAGCCAAGCTATCCAGACCGAGCAGATCGCCTTGTCCCCATATATTACATTTTTTTTTTATTTTTTACTTTTTTATTTTTTTTTCGAAGTTTTATATATTTTTTTGAACATTTTCACCCCAAAGTCGCAAACGATAGATAATGAAACCCAAAACCATAAGAATTACCCGTTAAAAATGACCGTAAAATTTGGACCATTTCTCGATTTGTGCATGTCATCCTTGTGAAGGGGCCATGCTAATTTGCACTAGTTTCCGGGATTGACAATTGATGTTTTGGACCAATTGCCAATTTGCACCGGTTTTCGGGATGACAGATTCACCTAGCTAATCCGGGTTTTTAAACACTGAATAAAACTAATTAGGTGGCCGGAAGTGTGACATTGATGGGACTTAAAAATCCAATAGAAAATATTTGGAGCTTTGTGACATACTCTAAGATATGTGATGACCTAAATTTTTCT